AATGTGAGGCGACAACACGCTATACAAGCCAAAATCAACTCGAAAATAGGAAATTAAGAAAAAACACAGCGATACTTCGTTTTTTCCTAATTTCTTATTTTCGACTTGCATTTTGGCTTGTATACCGTCTTGTCGACTTTCGACTTAGTCATATTTTTGTATTTATTGATGTAAGTAAGATGGCGCCAACACGCATACCAAGCCAAAAGTAGAAATTAACAAATTAACACACCGCGCTATAAGCGACCTATCATTTTGGCTTGCTGTCGTACTCTCGACTTTTCGAATTTCGCCTCGGAAGTTGTTGTAGTCTCAATTTTCCAGGTCGCATTTTAATACGTACAATCAGGGCTCACACTGTATTTCATTCTTTTCCGTCAAAATGGATAATAATTTTTTCCGCCAACTGGGATATTTTATCTGCCAAAAATGTCTGATAAAAAAAAACACCTTCGGCTACAGCAATTTAATTTATTATATAGGCGTATTATAAAACAAATTTCCCGTACCGATATATACAATCTACAACAACATACATGAGGATTGTGTGGTCTAGTCTTTTAACACGTGCGCGTGAAATCACATTGATTCAAGTGGTGTGGTTTCGATTCCCCGCTTAAACATGACAAGGGAGTAGGGTCGCTTGTCCAAACTTGTGGGTTTTCTCCGGATACCCCAGGTTCTATCCACTGCTAAAGACTCCTGAAAGTTCATCCATATTTTCCGGCGGGTTCCCCCTTGTCAGGGATGCAGGAAGGGGGGGGGCTGACAAGGACAACTGTCTAGTTGTTCGGATGGTACCAAAAGACCGAGGTCCCGTGTACACATTGGCGTGCACGTAAAAGATCCTTTGACAGTTGGGATTCGGTATAAGAGTAGGCCGTATTGCCGTTGTCCGGACAAAATTTCCCATATAGTACACTGTATGGCGTATGCCCGTCTTCATTAGCCCAGTTCGGAGCAAAACAGTAGGACGTTAAACCCCAATTTCATTTAATTTCTCTTTCTCTCTCTCTCTCATCGCCAATTTATAAAATAAAATTGCACCATATTAGTCACTGAATAACTCTTAGTTTGTGTCGAGTGGACGTTACCCCCCCCCCCCCCCATCTCTCTCTCTCTCTCTCTCTCCCACTAATACATTAGCGCAGTTTTGAGGTCATCCACTAAGATCAGAATTTATTTTTGTTGTCTTTAGTTATTTCAACATCTACTGAACACTATATATTCAGCCTCTACACGCCAGTCCCATCCACGGATTTCCCTTTTAACGTTTTGCATGTACAATAGGCCTATTCTTAATTGCAGGTACCGTAATGATCCAGAATCTGAATCCTCATAGAAATTTCAATTTTATTTGTATGACATGCTTACAATCAGTAGAGAATTTTGGCGGCGGTACTGAAACGTCACTATTCGACTCGTTCTTACATTTCCTACCCATGGTGATAATATAATTTGAAATAAAATAATAATATACAATCGGGAAAACCTGTATATTTTATATGCGGTATGAAACCACGGTAGGCCTAAATGAAATTCAATTACCAATGCGCGTATTCTTATTTCCTAATTTCTACTTTTCGAGTTGCATTTTGGCTTGGTGTGTGTGTTGGCGCCTTCTTACTGACACCAATAAATACAAAAATATGACTAAGTCGAAAATAAGAAATTAGGAAAAAAACGAGGGGCGCTATTATCGGTGTGTTATTTCTTAATTTCCTTTTTTCAAGTTGATTTTGGCTTGTATAGCGTGTTGTCGCCTCACATTTTGTCGTAACTTCTACTTTTCGACTTTTCGACTTTCGCGTTTTGAAGAGGCGAAAAGTAGAAATTATGAATGGTAGTTATAGGCTGCGAAACGACCCAGAAAAGTAGAACGTTGAATCATATTTAGACTACTGTAAAGGGAAACAACTCTTGTTTTTGTTCGCCACCGATTACCGTTCGATACTCGCTCTAATGTTAATTCTCATCTTTTTGGTTTTGCTGGCTCGAACATTTTCCCAGATTACTGGCCGGTTTCTATCACGGGTGAGGTAACTTGGGGCAACGTGTCTTGTCCAAAAGCTTGTGTGGATATTTGGAGAATCAAGTTGTACACGAACTGGAAGTAACTTACTTAAAGATACATTATGGGAGATTAGATAAAGAGCTGGCAGTTCTCACTATAGTAGTTAAAAATTAGATACTGTAAAGTGAATTTGCTGAAAATTTCAGTCAAACTGATCCACTCTGAACCGAGAATTTAGCGATTGAATTTTCGGCCTAGCCTCGATCATCATTACTAAAGTCGGTACGATAAAAAACATAGTCTCGATTATCCAGTTTATAATTTAATCATGAATGAAAGTTGAGCAGCAAATCGGATCCTAATCCAGTAAATATCACAGGCTAGCGATGACATCGAGGGTTGATTTTGGTCTGGATAAGTTAATAAATGTCTAATTAATAGTTTATATAACATTCCAGGCCTAAAGAAAGACCTGGAATAGGCAGATTTAGCTCTTGCATAATGTATGTTTAATATGATTATTACAATGACGTCATTATTAATGTGACGTCATAATGTATGTTTAATGGGTCTAAAGGCGCATATTAAAGATGCATTATGTAAGAGCTAAATCTGCCTATTGCATAGGCAGGAAAACGTTAAACCTAGCTCCCAACACGCCGTACGTGCTACAACGGACAGTCTACGGGGGAAATAATAGTAAACACTTGCGTGAGACTTACGCATCACTTGCATGTGTTCGTCACCGTAGAAGATCGCATAGTAACCATAGAGACTTATGATCCTGCACATACCAAATTTTCACTCGGCTTCTTGCGGCGGATCTGCGAGTTACCAAACCCTACGACCCATGCGTGTCAAAAGACACACGGTGAGTTGTGAGGTAGGCTGTAGGTAAATTTTATGTTGCAGGAGAATTGTATATGATGTAGAGACATGACCTATTAAGGGTGACAAATGAAATGAAATGAAATGGGGTTTAACGTGCTACTGTTTTGCTCCAAACTGGGATAATGAAGACGGGCATACGCCATAAAGTGTGCTCTGAGGGAAATGAAATGAAATGAAATGGAGTTTAACGTCCTACTGTTCGTGCTCTGAGGGAAATTTTACCCGGATAGCGGTACTACGGCCTACTCTTATATCAAATTCCAACTGTCAAGGGATATTTTACGTGCACGCCAATGTGTACACGGGATCTCGGTTTTTCGTCCCATCCGAACGACTAGACAACTGTCCTTGTCAGGCCCTCCGTCCTGCATTACTGACAAGGAACTACGCCGAAAAATCTGGATGAACTTTGTCGGCCAATGCAGGGATCAGACACCCGACCTCCAGGCTAGCGAGCCAGCGTCTTACCCACTTAGCCACCATGAGCCCCATTAAGAGTGATAGAATACCACAATATGTTCCCTGGATTCATTGTCTTGATATAATACTGTTGTGTTTGAGTTTCTTGTCCGTGCGTTTATCTGGTGGGTTTCTGTTTGTGCGTCGTGCTGTCCTCCTGCATGTACTTAAAAAGGGATAGGCCACTCTAATACGTCAGATTCTTTCCTACGTCATTCCTTTTGGTAAGGTTTTCGTTGTTCACCCGAGTCACTCGAGTCGACACCAGACCGTTCGCGTTTTGAATCGAGTTGGTCACATGACGGACTCGAGTCGCATCACGTGACTAACCCGTTTACTCCCCGTTGAGCGGAAAGTAAAAGGGTTTGTCACGTGACAAAATGGCGTCCTATACGCAAAAAAACCTATCTCTCGATCACATACTGACGTCGTAGCTGTTTTGATGCCATGTGACTACTCGGACCGTCCGGGATGTTTCACCCGGGTAAATTCGGCAATGGAGTCGACTCGAGTGACGCGAGTAAACGACGAAAACCTTACCTAAAACTATGTAAGATTATCCACGTGACATATAGGTTATCCAGTGTCGGTACGTTCTGTGTCTGGAGAAACGAAATAGGGTTTAACGTCCTACTGTTCTGCACCGACTGGGCTAATGAAGACGGGATGCAGTGTGCTATGGGGGAATGTTTACCCGGACAGCGGTGCTACGGCCTACTGTGTCTGGAGACGGGAATAAATAAATGTAAGTCACAGAGACGACCATAGCCCAGCAATGGATTACCCAACCGTAATATTTTATACCAACTAATACAACAAACAAAAAAAAAAAACGTGTGGTATACAATCAATCTGATTAAGACACAGATCCTATTTCGTTTCGTTTTTATAGTTCAAAATTTCGTTTTTACTTGTCTTTACTACACTAGGATCTGGAAGAGTTGTTATTTAACTCGTGTTCTGCTTCAAATGAGGGGTCAGCCAATCAAATGGTCTGTCGAATCGAGCGTTTGACGTTTTTTGCGCGGAACTGTGGGCAGACATTAGCGGCAATAGAAATCAAAACAAAGCAAAAGTAGATAAAAAAATACATGGCGGTCGCTAATTGGTTAATCGAATGACTGACGTAATCGGGTCAAATGTCGCTTGCTTTGTACCTGACGTCATAGAACGTGAACTCCCACTATAACTTGTTAGATCTACATGTAGTGTAGGCCATCGAAAGTATAAAAAACGAAACGAAATATAGATCTATATTTTAATTAGATTGGTATACAATGCCAGAAGTGGTATCAAGTGTTTCAAGTGAGTACACATATCCTACATTGCGGTGAAGTTACTCGATAAACAGTAACCTCGGGAAAATAGCCACAAGATAGAAACATAGAGATCTAAACACAAACTAGGTTATTTCGGGACTAACCTACGGTACAAATTTATTTCAACAATTCCCTTCTGTGTAGGTGTTTTTAGTAGAGGGGAGGGGCGGGGGACACGGGGGACCCGGAGAACACCCACGAAATCGGACAGACGACCTCTCCTGTAGACTATATTAGGATAAAATAAATAAAACAATTTACACTTTTATTATTTACATTATTACGATGCTTCGGCTGAATGCTCAATCTGGTTAAAACACAGATCCTATTTCGTTTCGTTTTTATAGTTCAAAATTTGGTTTTACTTGTCTTTACAACACTTTGATCTGGAAGAGTTGTTATCATTGACGTGTTCTGGATGATGTGAAGGATTAGCCAATGAAACGGCCTGTTACGGCGAGCTTTTGGCGTGAGGTGTACGGAACTGAGAGTAATTCACTAGAAACACCAATGCGGATTGGTTAATAAAATGTCTGACGTCATAGGGTCAAAAGGCGCTCGTGTGACCTCTGACGCGACCTCCCAAAACAACTGGTCAGATCTTCATGTAGTGTAGGTTGGTCTGTGACAGTATAAAAAACGAAACGAAATATAGATATGTATTTTAATCAGATTGGTGTATGCTGTATCTATGCAAATTACATTTGTCCGATATAATACCGGTTTCGCAAATCTTTATATTTACCTATTAACGAATGGTCATAGGGTATTACCTTCCTTGAAAGACAACTCTTCGGGGGAGGGGGAGGGGGGTGCTCGACTGTCAGTCCACAACGTTCCGAATTGATAGAATTGCAATCTTGTGACGCGGAATTCAGTCCTGTCACAGTTCTGTCAGTCCCGACGACGGAGGTGGTGTGAGTAGAATCGTGACGTAATTAAACCTAATGAACATGTTTCAGCTTTCATGGTTGGTTGAGATATGCGTGTTCTAGTCCCAAATCCCATTTTCATACGATTGTCACTATTTTGGGGTATGGGAATTCAATTCCGGAACGTTCAATCGAGCATACCATTCATGATCTAAAACTCGTCAAGATCAGTAAACAAAAGCGAGTAAGCAATGGCGGGTGAACTGAAAGTCGTAAAGAAGCACCCGGTTTTAAATCTTCCAATCCTTGATTAATATGCCAAAATTACTTCCACGTCTTCCCGGAAGTCCATATCTGTTTGTTTTAAATTATACAAATCCACGTCGGCCATTTTATCTTCTTGTTTGTTTCATTCTCGTTTTTATTTATTAAAACAAAAATTTAGATCCAGGAAAAACAGATAACAAATGAGAATGGTGTTAACACACCGTAGTTAGTATCACTTTACAAGCGTCTATTCCACGTCATACATGACGTCATCATGACGAACCTTGAAACTTCTTTTCCATTAGAACACCTTGATGTTCCCGCGCTTTTAATCTGAGAGCAGCAATGCTGGAATTTCGAGGATCGGAATCATGATTTTTGCTGAGAGATAGCGGACCAAAAACACTCATCATATTGGCGGCAAGTTGGTCGTTCTGACATGATTTAGCCGTTAAAGGATTAAATACGCCAGCGAAAGCATTGGCTTGGGAGCTGGCGGGAAAACCTGGTGGGAAGAAACTTGAGTATGACGTCACTGCCGGTGATGCAAATGCTTGCGGCAAGGCATTGAATCCCTGCGCAGTTGAGATCGGGGTTTGTAATGAAGCAGAGAGAGTAACGGCGTTTACCATTGGTGGGGTTAACCATGGATCCATTGGGAGGCTAGATCCTAAGGGGTTTGATAGGGTTTTAGCAACAGTGGGTAGGGTATACGTCTCAGAACATTTGCCGACATCCAACTTCTCCTGGCGTCGCCATTTTGCTCTTCTGTTTTGGAACCAAACCTGAAATGATAAAACGACATATGTCATGAAGAATACATGAAGAATTTGTGTAGGGAGCGTTAAATTTGTAGTAAACAAGAAGCAGAATTTACCTCTTCCAGAAAAAAATTGAAATGAAATGAAATGGGCTTTATGTTGCAGGCGATTTTACAGAAAGAAGTGGAACTAAGTGGGCTAACCAACTACTACTAGCGATTGGGCCGAGCTTCGCAACCAGAAAAAGATAAGAGGTGCATTCGGCTCCGAAAATATGCGAAAACTTGTCCTAAAGTTAGGGGTGTCACCGTCACAGCATCATAAACTGTTAGACTTTCTAAATTAAAATGATTAACAATCTGATCCAAACACAGATCCTATTTCGTGGGGTATTTCTAGTGAGAGAAGGCGTCCTATCCCCACGCCACGTGCTCACACCAGGATCGAAAGCACGACCGCAAGTTAGAGCTCGAAGCACGACACTCTAGACCACTAGGTCACCCCCCCCCCCCCTATGATTATATCCAAGAAGAAAGGTATTTTATATAAGTAAAGTGATCAAGGGAAATAACTCTAAAAGTAATCCTTGGAAAAATTATGTCTGTATATTTGTAGGGCCAAAGCTATTTTTAGTCTTCCTCTCCCTTTTCCTTTTTCCCCCTTTTGCATGGCGATTTTTGTTGACTTTTTGGTGTAGAATCGAGGAAAAGGGTTTGAATATACATTTTCTGCCAGGTTTTGGTGAATATTCATAATTTTGATGCGGAAGGATACAAGAGTTGAGAGGTTGGAAAGGTTGAAATGTAGGGCCTGAAATTGCATGTTTACTTGTCTCTACTTCCAGCTTGTGTATCTCAAGTTTTTCATGAAGAACCTCATACGTGCTTTTGGGCAAGTGGTTGCCACATGTTGCTCCATCTGTGGTAGAAAGCGTTCTACCCAACGAAAATTTGGGAAAAAGTTAGAGCCGGTCTAAGATACGAGAATTAACATAGGAGTCAATGGGGAAATCTTTAGTGATCTGTGTCCGTATGGTGAATATGTAGGACGGTCGTGTTATAAACGATATGAATAGATTTCTCATCGTTTGATAGTAACGATATGACGTTAAGCATGACGAGAGGGGTCGCCTTGAGTTGTCAAGTTATCAACTCTATAAAATCTAGTCAATATCATTTTACACAATAATAGGCCTACACATTTAGTTACAGCCTAAAGGGACATTCCATTCAACAATAGGCCTTCACATTTAGTTACAATCTAAAGGGACAATCTATTCAGCAATAGGGGAACACATTTAGTTACAGTATGAAGGAGCATTCCATTCAGCAATAGGCCTACACATTTAGTTACAGTCTAAAGGGACATTACAGTCAATATACAAAATACATTCACGTTTTAATTGAAGGAACACTTCATGCAATATTCAATAAACATTCTTGTTCAATTTAAGGGGCATTTCATTCAATATGCAATATACATTTATATTTTAATTGTAGGGGAATATTTCATGTAATGTACATTCAGGCTTGTATTGCAGGAACAAAGTTAGGCCTAATTACCTTAACCGTCATTCCAAATGCATACTTCGTAATCGTAATCTAAAGGTACTTTTGGTTACTTTCTAAAAGGGTTGAATTTAATTTATATCTAGTTACAATAGGACAAACATTTACTTTCATTACAAGTATTTTTTATCTTTCTGATCAAGATGGTGAAAACCGATTCTAGTCTCTTCTAACTTGTTGGCTCACTAATCATTAGGTCTCAAGTTCGAACACGGTCTTGGTCGGGACAGTTGGTGTCGAGTGGACGTTAGCCCCCCACCCCAACCACTCTCCCTCTCTCTCTCTCCCTCTCTCTCTCTCTTTCGAACATGGTCTTGGCCGGGACAGTTTGTGTCGAGTGGACGTTAAATCCCCCTCTCTCTCTCCCCCTCTTCATCTCTCCCTCTCTCTCTCAAACACGGTCTTGGCCGTGACAGTTGGTGTCGAGTGGACGTTAACACCCCTCCCTTTCTCTCTCTCTCCCTCTCTCTCTCTCTCTCTCTCTCTCGAACACGGTCTTGGCCGGGACAGTTGGTGTCGAGTTGACGTTAACACCCCTCCCTTTCTCTCTCTCCCTCTCTCTCTCTCTCTTTCGAACATGGTCTTGGCCGGGACAGTTTGTGTCGAGTGGACGTTAAATCCCCCCTCTCTCTCTCCCCTCTTCATCTCTCCCTCTCTCTCTCAAACACGGCCTTGGCCGTGACAGTTGGTGTCGAGTGGACGTTAAATCCCCCTCTCTCTCTCACTCTCTCTCTCCCTCTCCCTCTTCATCTCTCTCTCTCTCTCTCTCGAACACGGTCTTGGCCGGGAGAGTTTTCCCTTGTCAATGGTGTATGACGGAGGATCTAGACTAGCAAGGAGCAGTGTCTGGTCGTTTGTATGGGACGAAAAAAGAAAGCCCCTTTTACACACTGGCGTGCACGTAAAAGAGGCATTAACAGTTGAAATTCTAGAAGGCGGTAAAACAGCTGTCCGGTCAAAATTTACTCATAGCACACTGCATGGTGTATACCCGTCTTCCTTAGGACAGATAGACGATTAACGTCCATTCGACACAAACTAGGTCATTTCAGGACTAACATATGGTTCAATTTTGACTCAATGACAGACCTTGCTATCTAAACCCCACGTCATAGCCCATTAGGCCACCCAACAACCCCCGCCAGATAGCCAAGTGTGATTTTATCCACGACAAGTTATCAACTGGCTGAGTGACAACGTATAAAGAGTATTCACACCGTGTCTAATCGTATTAAATACATATTACACCACACTAAAAGACACGAAGAAAAGGGGGAAGAACTCTAGTAATTTGATAATTGCTCACTGAAGCTAACTTGATTTAATTTGCCAACCTTCAAAAGGATTAAGCGTCAACGTCCAACAAATTTATTTGCTTAACTGATTTAGGGTTAGAAAATGAGGGGTTTTGTCTGCCAGTTAGATGTTTGAATGAGTTGTAAATGAGTTTAAATGGGTGTTTTTCGTTAATTATGGGTTAGAAACCACGTTGTGAGCTAGAAGACACACCTAAAGCCTAGCCACATGCTCCATTTTATCCATTCTCGTCTCTCAGTGTCGCCATGGACCCTATTATGGTATGATCATTGGGTTTGTCATTTCGATTCCCCGGTTGCATGTGACAAGGTCGCCCGTCTAACCTCGTGGGTTTTCTCCGGGTCCACCGGTTTCCCTCCACTGCTAAAGACCCATACGAGCAAGCGAATTATTGAAATAAAATTGAACCATATGTTAGTCACGAAATGACCTGGTTTGTGTCCAGTGGACGTTAAACCCCATTCCTCTCTCTCTCTTTAAAATCGTATTACCCCAAAACATTTACGACTACGTTAGGATACGTGTGTTCCACTGTCGTCGCAGTAAAGATTGAATTACATCAAATACAAACCTGTTTTGATTGTTTTAAAAAAACCGATGTGACGTCATTCATGCCCACTAGTCTGACGTCATCTAATGAAATACAGTGGGATGTTCCTTAATTATAGAAACAGGCGTCACATCAAATTCACCAAACAAACCCAATATCGTTTACCCCATAATGTCATTTAAACTTAGCAAGTCTAGAATTCAACATATCTCTCAACAAAAATTAAACGCGAAAATTAGCTCATCATCATCCCGCGCCTTTTGTAGAAAAAGAAAGTTGGCGGAACCGTCGCTGTCCGAGCAAAAGTTTCCTATCTCACATTACGCTCGTCATAAACAATGTCGTTTCTGGACTAACATCGTATAAGTTTATAGTTCAGTTAATCGCATGCGCTTATGAGTCTTTAGCAGTAGGTGGGGGGGGGGGGGGTCCGGAGGAACCCACGAGGTTCGGCAGCTGACTCAACGATAGACCAGGCACCTAGTTCACAAAGCATTCTCAGACTTAAATCAAGAATTTACTCAACTTTAAATCACTTTTTATGAGAAATATCTTTTGATCCAGAAACACAAAACTTTGTACATAGTTTCTTATTAATGTATTTGATATATTAAAACAACAAAAGTTTTATAAAGGGCTATATTTTAGTTAAAATAAGGCGAACAATTTTGAGTCAATTATTAACTTAAAGATACATTATGGGAGATAAGATAAAGAGATGGCAGTTCTCGCTATAATGGTTAAAAACTAGATAGTGTAAAGGTAATTTGCTGAAAATTTCAGTCAAATTGATCCACTATGAGCCGAGAAAGAAGCCGGTGAAATTTTTGCATAGTCTCGGTTATCATTACTAAAATCATTAATATAAACAGCATAGTCTAGATTATCCACTTTTTCTGATTTAATTATCTTTGGCCGTTAGCGGCATATAGGAATCTAATCCAGCCTACATCGAAGGCTAGCCTTGACATCGAGAGTTTATTATGGTCTGGATAAGTTAATTAATGTCTAATTGATAATTTAGATAACATTTCAGGCCTAAAGAAAGACTTGTAATAAGCAGATTTTGCTCTTGCATAATGCATGTTTAAACATGTTTAATACATTGACGTCATTATTAATGTGACGTCATAATTTATGTTTAATTATGATTAATACAATGACGTCATTATTAATGTGACGTCATAATGTATGTTTAAGTCTGAGAATGTTTTGTGAACTCAGGAGGTGTCCTTTATATATAGGTCGGGGGATGGGTGGCCGAATGGTTAGTACGTGCGATCTGTATCATACGGTCTGTCATTGAGTCAACTGGCGTGTTTTCGATTCCCCGGTTGTACGTGTCAAGGAGTCGTGTCGCCTGTCCAGCCTCGTGGGTTTTCTTCGGGTCCTCCGGTTTCCTCCCACTGCTAAAGACCCCTACGCGCAAGCGAATTATTGAAATAAAATTCAACCATGTGTTAGTCCCAAAATGACCTAGTTTGTGTCGAGTGGACGTTAAACCCCATTTCTCTCTCTCTCTCTCTCTCTTATATACAGGTGCACGAAAGAAAACAACAAGTCTTTTACCACGGCAACGGCAATCGACTGAATCAGTTTGGTATAGATAAAAATGAAATGAAATGGGGTTTAACGTCCTTCTGTTCTGCTCCGACTGGAATAATGAAGATGGGCAAACGCCATACAGTGTGCTATGAGGCAAATTTTTCCCGGACCGCGGTACTATGGCCTACTCTTATATCGAACTCCAACTGCCAAAGGATTTTTTTACGTGAACGCCAATATGTACACGGGACCTCCTCGGTTTTTCGTCTTATCCGAACGACTAGACAGCTGTCCTTATCAGCCCCCCCCCCCCCTGTGTCCTGCATCACTGACAAGGGATCGTTATAGATAACCAGGCTAAAACTAATCTTTAAAATGGTACATAAATACTCTGATGTTGCCAGTCGGTTTAATATTGAAATGGGCATTATAGAAGATTAGATAAAGAGCTGGCAGTTCTCACAATAATAGTTAAAAACAATAGATAATGTAGAGAGAATATGCTGACAATTACAGTCAAATTGATCCACTCTGAACCGAGTGTTTACAGATCGAATTTTAGGCCTAGCCTCAATCATCATTACTAAAGTCGCTACGATAAAAAGCATAGTCTCGATTATTCAATTTTGGATTTAATCATCAATGAGCGTTGAGCAGCAGATCGGATTCAAATCCAGTGAAAATCCGACACATAAGATGGCATCAAGGGTTGATTAAGGCCTTTTCATGTTAATAAATGTCTAATTAATAGTTTATATAACATTTCAGGCCTAAAGAAAGACCTGCAATAGGCAGATTTAGCTCTTGCATAATGTATGTTTGATAATAATTGCTATTTTAAAGTCATTACCTGTACTCTAACTTCCGGTAGGTTTATTTTAATGGCCAGTTCTTCTCGACTATAAACATCGGGATAATGTGATTTTTCAAAAGCTCTTTCTAATTCGTGTAGTTGATATGTCGTGAACGTCGTCCTATTTCTACGATGCTTCTTCTTGTCGACGCCATCTGGATCATCTACGTCATCATCTTGAAGATCACAACTGTCATGGCCGTCTTCTTCATCGCGTAATAAATGAAGATCTGTAAAATAAGATTATGTTTTTAGCGCTTATCTTATTTATTAACTTTAAATAAGGAACATTTGAATTGGCTGGTGTAGACCCAGTGTACATACACCCCTTTATGAACGATACCCATCACTTTATATTCAGATGGGGGGGGGGGGAGTGGATGGCCGAATGGTTAGCACGTGCGTGCTGTATCATAAAGCCTGTCATTGATTCAACTGGCGTGGTTTCGAATCCCCGGTTGTACGTGACAAGGAGTAGGGTCGCCTGTCCAACCTCGTGGGTTTTCTCCGGGTCCTCCGGTTTCCTCCCACAGCTAAAGACCCCTACGCGCAAGCTAATTTTTGAAATAAAATTAAACCACATGTTTTTCCCGAAATGGCCTAGTTTGTGTCGAGTGGACGTTAAACCCCATTTCTCTCTATATATATATTCAGATGGGGACACAGAAAAGAGGGGTTTCAATTCCACGCGGTCTATAGCAGCGGGCTTCGAAAGCACGTCGCTTAACTTATTGACAGACCTTGTGTTCTAAACCGTATGGTTAGACCGCTCGGCCACCTACCCACAACACCCAGCAACTAACAGAGGACCTCAAGCTAGCTACTTTAACAAGAAAGAGAGAGAGAGAGAGAGAGGGGGGAGAGAGAGATGGGGTAATGTCCATTCGACACAAACTAGGCCCTTTCGGGACTAACATATGGTTTAATTTTACTTCAATAATTCGCTTGCGCGTAGGGGTCTTTGACAGTGTGAGGAAAACCCATGAGCTTGGACAGGCGACGCTACTCCTTGTCGCGTACAACCGGGGAATCGAAACCACACCAGTAGACTCAATGACAGACCTTATGATACAACGTGCGCGCGCTAACTATTCGGCCAACCATCCCCACTCTAGATAAATAAAATGAAAGTGCGTATGGGTGTATGTGAGCGTGTATGTTCGCCCGTCACACTCCGTCACAGCGGCCCACTCCCACATATGTGGTATCAAATTAATCAGCATAATCCCGTGAATGTTTTATCATTTATTAGTTTAAGACAATCAAAATGTATTTAACGGTTAACGGGGTGTAACTCTGTTTATAATTATGCTAATTAAGTTTAATAATAGTAACGGATGGTGTAAGCTACCGGAAAAGCGAGCAAGAAAGGAAGATTGGGCCCCGGATGAAACCATATTTTATTCAGCAATTGAACGGGAATGGAAATGAAACGAAATGAAATGTGGTTTAACGTCCTACTGTTCTGCTCCGACTGGGCTAATGGAGACGGGGATTGAGGAACAGGCATGGCCTATATGATACAAGAATTAATATGGATATGACAAGGAAATAAGTGAGTAAGCAACAAAACAATAAAATGAATACTTGTTATACATATACTAATGTGCATTTTGTGCTGCATCATCCAAAGTCGTTTTTCCATGGTATACGGTATTTGGGTAGAATGTCAATTTGTTTCACATTTTTATTTTGCTTAGAAATGTGGAGTTTGGACGCAAGAGACAAATTCAGTAATGCTTTATCAAATGTTTTTAATCTAAACAAAACTTAGTCATACTTTTAATGTGTATACTTTCTTTTGGACATCAGTATATTTACACATAGGTTACCCAGTTGTTCATGTTCGTTTTTTGATATGATGATAGATCTTACACTGAAATGGTTATCCAAATAAAATATCTCGTTCTAGTAAAACATCCTGCTGAATTTGTTGATTCATACATAAAGTTATTGTACAATATTTTCCCGGCGCCTTTCTTTCCTGAAAACCCAGGAACAATGCATACAGCGACCTCTTTAATGGCTATAACAGTCTGGTATTCTCCCATCATTTCGAACGACTTAACAAATCCTGTTTCAGTTATAATTCTCTCTGCGTGAAATTAATTTCTAATTACTCCTTAAATGCAATCTTATAGACACTTATCGAATTTTGTTCATAATCAGAGAAAAAATGGCGAACCAAATTAGAACGTCCTTTTGTGCTGGAAAAAACGTAAATTGATTCGTTTTCCTTTTATACCAATCAGCTGACATGTTAATCGAGCCTATTGTAATAAATTAATCGAGTCTATTGTACTATAATATTAATATAATCTATTATGCACCGTTAATGTAAAATAGTAAATGATTATGAATATTCGAATTTTTATGAAGACATATTGAAAGGACGCGCCGTCAACTCTGAAGTTTATTATTGTCATACGGGAGATATTTATTTACGTGTTTACATTAATGGCGACATTCGTGGCTCTTGAGATAACTTGAAATAACTATCCTAATTTATCTATTTTCCTCAGTAATTACTTCTATAAATGTTTAGATTGAAGTAAATAGACTAATACATTAAACTTTTTTTATCATCAGAATTAATTTCGGTTTAGTCGAACACCTTATAATTACACGCTATTCAACGAATCCACTCATTGAGCACCATCACAAAGCGACCTCTATTTGATTACCGCCCCTGTCTTTTACTCCGGCACTCACTCACCGTAACCTGATCCTTGGTATAGATCGTAGCGCCGCCTACCGGCCCCCCCGCCCCGATCTTCATGACAGACCCGCCAGCTAAATGATCGTCATTGTGTTGTATACATCTCTCAGAACGAGAACAGCTTTAAGGAATTACTGTGCCATGAAATTTACGTTTATACTATTATCTGTCCTCATCTAATTTAATCAACGTGGCGACAATAGACCCACGAGAGAAATAATATTACGAGTATATGAAACTCAGCGGTCGGCCTTTCTTACCTAAATGGTTCACATCTGAAACCAAGCCTATCAACATTAGAGCAAATTATTTGAAGTTTAGCTACTTGTCAGCAGTGATAATGATGCACACGGGGTTGTCAATTAATGTAACTCTAAAAATACAACATGCGCCGACACAGGGTCCCTGTCAACGTCTACCCTAGCGAGTCCTTCATCTGAGCAGAATTACCCCCGGGGCGATCTCCAAGCTCCCACTCTGTGGAAATTACATTTTTCTTTAGAATTCTAATAAATTCATATCCAGTCTTCTAGAATAGGGGTAATTAGGGTTTTTATAATGCAGCAATGACAGGCCTGTGTTAGTTGAGTTTTTTTGTTAAAATTATTTGAAGACTGTCGTTTTACAGCCTACACCTGCAGCCTGAAGAATAAAACATGAGTCAATAACCATCGCAAAATATCTTCCCGGGTCTCACAAATATCTTCCCTGGTCTCACAAAACATTGTCTAGTCTCACAAAACATCTTCCCTGGTCTCTGGTCTCAAAAACATCTTCTGATCTCACAAAACAGTTTCTCTGCTCACAAAAGATCTTCTGTGATATTACTTTAATTCACGATTCACAATTTAATGATATAACGTTTTACTTGTGAGACTGTAGCCAATATCGTTATCCAGTGCATTATGTAAGATTTAGATAAAGAACTAGCCATTCTTGCTATAATAATTCGAAAATAGATAATGTGAAATGAATAATTTGAAAATTTCATTCAAATTACTCTATTGCGAGCGAAGATATTAGCCTTTGAAGGTTTGACAAGACGTGTGCAATAATTTCAATCCCCGTACCGGTTGTTCAAAGCTACGTCTCGCTCCTCTATTTTTAAATTAAATCAAAATATGGCTGAACAGTTCTAATATATTTAATATCGGATAAATCCGATGCCTTTGATTATGGCCTGGATCAGTTAATTAATGTCTAGTTAATAATTTAGATAACATTTCAGGCCTAAAGAAAGACCCGCAATATACAGATTTAACTCTTGTATAAAGTATGTTAAATATGATTAATACAATGACGTCATTATTAATGTGACGTCATAATGTATGTTTAAGCTATAGATAACCAATAACCATGGAATAATTAAGTCTTATGATCATTTTTATTAATCTAGTGATCCCCCCCCCCCCGCCGATTTACTTGTTTATATCTTGAACAGTTTCGTGTATTAACGGATGTTTTGTAAGTCTCACTATCATTTTGTCAAATTCTCTTACATTTTAGGAGCCACGGTGGCTAAGTGGGTAAAACGCTGGCTCGCTAGCCGGGATGTCGCGTGATTAATCCCTGCCTTGGCAGAGAAAGTTCATCGGGTTTTTCCGACGTCGTTTCCCCTTGCCAGTGGTGCAGGACGGAGGGCCTGATAAGGACAACTGTCTAGTCGTAGTCGTTCGGATGTGACGAAAAACCGAGGCCCCCGTGTATACAGTGGCGTGCACGTAAAAGGTCCCTTGGCAGTTAGAATTCGATATAAGAGTAGGCGATAGTGACGCTGCCCGGGGAAAATTTTCATTAGCCCAGTATAGGAGCAGAACAGTAGGAGGTTAAAACTCCATTTTTCCAATTCTCTAACATTTTGACAGTAAAATATCATTGACGAAATCTAAATACAGACTGATATGTTTCCCCCTTCATATAAAATAAAAAAAAATCTATTACAGTGATTCACAAACTAGTTGTATTTTGCCGTTTTATATTTGGAGTCAATCTCATCCATTCACCAAGTTATTTCGAGACAAAGATAAGTACTTGAATCTCTAGAACTAATTATCTCCGTGATGTCCACTCAAAACCACAGTCGATTACTAACTGATCTAATAAAGACGTCATTAACAGAACAAAGACATTATAAACACGTGGTCATTCCGCCATATTGAACACGTGCCATATCGTTCTACTTCCGTTCTAAACGTGCTTCTGGTAATTACCTCCCTTGAAACTGATACATTTAATACTCGTAGCACTTTAAGACATGCAGTTGATTATCGATTTTATAAGGATGGGAACATCAAATCAAAAGAAAAGCTAATTAAGTGTGTTTTTATATCGCATTGACGAACAACATGAGCGAGAAAGCTAATATAACATATTTAAAGGGGCATTAGCTAAGATTTGATAAAGAGCTGCCAGTTCCCACTATAATAGTTAAAAACTAGATAATGTAAAGGGAATATGCTGACAATTTCTGTCAAATTGCTTCACTCTAAACTGAAAAATTAGCGTTTGAATGTTAGCCCTAGCCCCGACCATCATTACTAAACTAAAATCGATACGATAAAAAAACATATTCTCGATTATTCATTTTTGGATTTAATTATCAATAAGAATTGAGCAACAAATCTTATTCAAATCCAGTGAAAATCCAACACATGAGAAGGTACCGAGAGTTGATTATGGTCTTGTCATGTTAATAAACGTCTAATTATTAATTTAGATAACATTTCAGACCTAAAGAAAGACCTGCAATAGGCAGATTTAGCTCTTGCATATTGTACATTTTTAAAGGAGCTAAATCTCTCGTAATATTATCAATAATATTCGAAATTGAAAACGCGCCCTAGAATTCAATATTGGTGCATTTCTATGAATACTGGTGTTGTTGTTTTACTCGGAAAATATGGAATCCCAATACTTAATATAGAGCGAAGCTCTAAAGCATCGCGCGAAGCGCGGTGCTTGAGCAAAGCTCTTTTCCGGTAACACAGGAGCGTAATTGAAAATGTCACCCACAGACTGTTGATTAAAAAAAAAATTCAGACAGGAACCGGATACACTGGGGAAAACAGGCAATGCGCATGTCTGTCAATGCGCATGTCAGCGCATGTCAACTTACCAAATCTCGCCCAAGCGAGATTTTGGGTCTCTAAGAAATATTTCTATGACGCGTCGAATAAATGACGTCAGATAATTTTGACGTCAATGAAAATCCTCACACCTTTTTGTTCTTTTTTCAATTGGGGAAACTTTATTATGAAGGTTTTATTTGACAACAATCACATCAGCTTCGCTCTACTCAGGCAAGGCCTGTTACATATTATAGAGCGAAGCGGTGCTTGAGCAAAGCTCTTTTCCGGTAACACAGGAGCGTAACTGAAATTGTCACCCACAGACTGTTGATTAAAAAAAAATCCAGACCGGAACCGGATACACTGGGCAAAACAGGCAATGCGCATGTCAACTTACCAAATCTCGCCCAAGCGAGATTACGCGCCTCAGAGAACTATTTCTATGACGCGTCTTATCAATGACGTCACATATTTTTGACGTCAATGAAAATAATTCTCACACTTTTTTGTTCTTTTTTAAAAAACAAAATTAATGTATACAATTTAGATCTAAATGAAAATCAATTTGGAAAAACTAAATTATTTAACATTTTTTGTATCACTTGAGAAAATTAATTATGAAGGTTTTATATTTGACAATAATCAGCTTCGCTCTACTCAGGCAATGCCTGTTACATATTAATTAAGACACAATATTGTACTCATTGTTTCAAAAGCCACAAAAACAAAACATATCCCAGAAGTCAATGCGGAAGTAATTTAAAATGGCAGATATACAGACGACAAAATAATTTTTAAAAACGTGTAGAATAAACTAAGCAGGCGTACGACTGCCGTTCAATTTAAATTGTTTCCGTATTTCACCGAACATAATTGATTAGAAATTACTAAGTTAAAGAAATGCGTTATAATCGTACCGTCATATTATAGTGTAAAATAAGAACACGATTACAGTTGATTACTGGGTGACGTTTCTTCAGATTAGGCTTTTATTGTCTTTATTACTAAGACACATTTAGACCAGGCTTCTTTGTTCTTTAAACACGAGGGCTTTTGGGTGGCCGAATGGTTAACGCGTGAGTGTTTGATAATAAGGTCTGCCATGTGTATGTAAACAGAAATGAAATGGGGTTTAACGTCCTACTGTTCTGCTCAGAACTGGGCTAATGAAGACGGGCATACGCCATACAGTGTGCTATGAGGTAAATTTTGCCCAGACAGCGGCACTACGGCCTACTCTTATATCGAATTCCAACTGTCAAGGGATCTTTTACGTGCACGCCAATGTGTACACGGGACAGCTGTCCTTGCCAGGCCCTCCGTCCTGCATCACTGACAAGGGAGAACCACGCCGGAAAATCGGGATGAACTTTCTCGGCCAATGCAGGGATCGAACACCCGACCTCCAAGCTAGCGAGCCAGCGTCTTACTCACTTAGCCAACGTGATCCCCGTGTATGTAAACAAGCATAACAACAATCAACTTAATGATGACCCGGCGTGGTTCCCCCCCCCACCCCTCCACCACCATTTGTCAGTGGCATAGGACAGAGGGCCTGGAAAGTCGTTCGGAAGGGACGAAAAACCGAGATCCCGCGTACACTTTGGCGTACACGTTAACGATCCCTTGACAGTTGGAATTCGATATAAGAGTAGGCTGTAGTGTAGCTGTCCGGGCAAAATGTCCCTCATAGCACTCTGTATGCTGTATGTCCATCTTCATTGGCCGAGTTCAGAGCAGAACAGTAGGACGTTAAACCCCATTTCATATCGTTCAATGATGACCAATGAGAGTGATGTTTGTTTATGATATTATATCATTACTTGATAATGACCGGAGAAGCCTGTAGCTCAGTAATAAACAGTATTTGTATTCCATAAAAGTGTGTCAATGTATTTCCAGTTCAATTACTAAACACCATTGAGACCATTTGTAATTAAGTATTTTG